TTGCTCTGATCCCTGAATCCTTACCCATCCTGTAAAGCTCCAACAAATCTTCCGTGTTCCCCTCCGGCCTTCACATAAGCCTCTAAGCCATGTATCACACAGAGGACAAAGTTGACTTATTCTGCCTCTCTCCCTAGGACAGAACTGGGGTACTAGATAGATGTGACGAAGAAGCCAATTTAGACTTGCTATCTGGAAACTTTTCCTACCAATTAGATCTGTCCTAAGGTAGAACAGGATGCCTCTGGAGATAGTGGGGCTCTCTTCACCAGTCTTTAAGCAAAGGCTGGGTGAGCGTGAGGGGAGGCTCTTGGTTGGGTTAGGTAGCCTCTGCTGGGCTTTCCTCTTCAGAGATTTCATGAATATTTGGTGTTTTGATTTTATCTTTCTCTGTGTTAACCCCCTTCGAGAATGTAAGCTCCACAGTTTAGACTTTATATAATCCCCAACAATGCTCTTCATGTAGGATGTGCCTAATAAAGTTTGAATTTAATTGCAGATCTCTTATGGAGTGCTACACGGCTTTCTATTTGGCCTTGTTCTGATCAACATTCATTTGCTTTTTTTAAAAAACCAAGTAATCTGTACTCAGAGTACAGATTGAGACATAGATTTTTTTTGGACATGGCTAATAGGGGAATTTGTTTTGCTTGAATATATACATTTTGTTACAAGGGCTTTGTTTTTTTTTATTTTTTCAGGTGGGGGGGCAGAGGTGGGAGGGAGAGAAGATAGACTTTAGTTAACTGAAAGAAATAAAATTTAATAAAAAATAAATCTATGGTTCTTTGAGCCTATGAAAAATCTACGAAGGATGGTCAAGGTGGGGGCTCAAGAGTCCTGGGGGTGGAGAAGTAGGGGGAGGAAACCCCAACAAAGGCCTCCTGGAGGAGGGGCAAAATGAACTTGAGTTAAAGGGAGCTGGGGATTCCAAGCATTGGAAAGGAGGAGGTATGGAAGAGCAGACTGTGAAAAAGCTGGAAGGGAGAGTGTACAAGTTGGGATAAGGTGAATTAAGTTTGGAAAGCTAGGTTTTGTGTCATTCAGTTTTGGAATGTCACCAAGCTGGTATAAAGTGACAAAACTGAGATCCGAGCTTTTCAAAAACCAGCTCAGGGGCCACCTCTTCCATGAAGCCTGTCCTGATTTTTCCCAGTTGATAGCGTTCTCTTCCTCTTGAAAATGCTTTGTATATATTATAAGTTTACAAATCTGTTTATGATGTCCCCTCCCCTTCTTTCCCCTTACCAAGTTATACATTCCTTGAGGACACAGACTATTTGACTTCTGTTGTTGTATCTCAATGCCTAGAATAATTAATGTATGTTGAATGGGCCTACACTATTAAGATGACATATAAATGTAAAATCCTGCATTTAGGTTCAAAAAATCAATTGCCCAAGTCTAAAACAGGGAAGATATGACCAGATAACTTCACATGAGAAAGGTCTGGGGGTTTTATGGATATCACACAAGCATGATGACAATACAACATTGTGATGTAGTGCCTAAAAAGGCTGTTGGGACTTTAGAGTCTAATTGAGTGTCTAGAAGGGGGACTGAGCCAGGTCAGGGTCAGATCACATTTGGAATATTACAATCAGTTAGAGAACTGGAAGAAACCTTAAAAATTACTCAAATCACGACTTTCATTTTATAAAGAAGAAAACTGAGATGAAGTGATTTGCCCAAAGTCACACAATTAAGAAGTGGCAGAGTCAGGGTTTAATGTAGATCGTTGGACCCTAAATCCAATGTGCTCATATCACAGCTGCCTCTGGGTGCTCCATTGTAGGGACGGTTGACAAACCAGAGGATGTCTGAAGAAGGATGATCAGGATGGCGAGGCCCTCCAAAACCTGGTCACAAAAGGATCTTTTGCAAATACCTTGCATGTCATGTCTATTTTCTGCTCAAGAACTTAACATTGGTTCAAGAATGTATTGTTATCCATTAGATCAAAACTAGACTCTTTGGTCTGATACTTCAGGTCATTCGTCTACTGCTCTGGCCCTTCTCTGCCTCCCCACCAGCCACTCCAAGATCAGTGTTCAAGTCTCCTCTGTCGTAGCTGGGGTGATGGCCTGGTATTCCCAGAGCACTTTGGGCCACAGTTGGAAGAACTGAGGAGTTGTGAAACTGTCAGATTTTCCTGGGTGACCTTGGGCAAGTCATTCACCTCCCTGGGCCTCAGTTTCCCTCTCTGTAAAGTGAGACAGCTAGCCTCTGAGGCCCCTGCCAGCTCTAGGGGTAAGATCCTATGTGCAAATGGAGACAAATCACTTCTCCCTGGGCCTCAGTTTCCCTCTCTGTAAAGTGAGACAGCTAGCCTCTGAGGCCCCTGCCAGCTCTAGGTAGATGATCTTGTGACTCACTCAGTCCTGAAAAGATTGACCAGAAGCCCTTTCTAAAACTTCTGGAGGATAGGGCAGATAGTGGTTTGGGTTTCATTTGCGGGGGAGGTTCAAAAGGCTTCTGTAATTATTCCTGAATAGAAGAGTTATCAACTGTCAAGCAAGGCCTCCAGAGTTCAGGAGCATCTCAAGGCAACTTCAGAGTTCTTCCAAATGAGGTGTACTGTTTACCCCCTCTTTTTTTTTTCTTTTTTTTTGCTAGGCAGTCGGGTTAAGTGACTTGCCCAGGGTCATACAACTAGTAAGCGTCATTTGTCTGAGGCTGGATTTGAACTCACATCCTCTTGACTCCAAGGCCAGAGCTCTATCCACTATGCCACCTAGCTGCCCCTTGTTTACTCCTCTCTTAAGGCCTTCATTGTGACCTTCCCATGGCAGCTCTGTTACCTACCGCCTACCTTCCAGGGGCCAGACGTCTTTACATGCCCACCTCTTCAGTATGTCTTCTGAACTTTCCCAGGGGCTCTTCCTCCAGTCAGAGGATTCTAGAGCTGGAGTTGGAGGGGATCCCACTGCCTCATTTTACAGAGGAGGAAACTGAGGCCCAGGGAAGGAAAGGGACTTACCCGAGGTCACACAGCTAGTAAGCAGCAGAACTAGAATGTTTGGGAGCTATGGGCAAAGAGTTTCCTGGGACCGTTTCCTCATTTGTCAAATGGCGAATGATAATCTGTCCTCTTCATCTCTTAAAGCTAGTGTTAGGATCAAATAAAATGATCTCAGAGACCCCTCCAGTTTCCCTTGATTCTGAATTAAGCTTCCAGAAGGCAGGGACTTTAGTGTGTGTGTCTGTGTAGACCCAGAGTCTTGTACATAGGAGATCCTTGAGAAATGTTTATTGAATGAGGTGAAAGGGCTTCAAAAACCCAAGTTCCATGAACGTGTATGGTGGTGTTTTTGTTGTTTGGGCCCCCCGAAGGCCCCTTTGGGGCTTTTCCATGTCTTCTCATGGCCTCCCCTCCCTTTGCAGGTCTCCTGTGAACTCATATATGTGACTAAACAAAAATCTACACAAACAGTTCCTCTTATCGGGTCAACTAACCGCTATGACCACAAGGGGCTGCCGTGTTTGTCTCTGTTTAACCGGGGTTGCCTAAGAAACTAAGTTGTGTTCTCTTACTTAGCCCAGGCTTCATAATGGGACAAATTCGATTCCACTTCCCATACAGGAAAACTTACTGACCAAAGATGTCCCAGGGCTAAGGGCTTTGGTTTTTTCCTTCTGAATTTATTTTGTCATTGGTCCTTGCTCTAAAAAACGGTGTAGGAAGCAGAGGGAATATGAGATCACGGGGTCATAGATTGTGAGTTGGGAAGGACCGTCAAAATCATCTGACGGTCGAGCCCAAGTTTCGTTTTCCCCCCTTTTACAGCTGAAAAACCTGGGACTCAGAAAGATCAGGAGGCCTGCCCAAGGTCGCATAGCAGAACAGTAATGAAGTTGGGATTCCAACCCTGATCCTCCGACTCCAGATTCAGCAATTTTCTCACATTTCCAGCCACCTTTCTTGAAAATTTGCTTATGAATACCCAGGCAATAAATTCAGCTCTGCTGGAGAGGGGTGGGCGGCTTATATAGTAGAGATGGAGAAAGCAGGGCTGTAAATGCTTGCTACTTTGTGTTTGTTTGTTTTTTTTTTAATGTTTGCCACTTTGAATGCTTGGGTCTGAAGTTTGGATTTGACCAAGCAAGCTATTGTAGCAAATGCAACAGTCTTTGGGTTGGGGGCAGAAAATGTTTCTATTGGATTTTAGAATATGGAAAGTGGAAACTCGGCAATGGATAGAATAGCAAGGGGTACAGAAGCTTCGGCCTCGAGGCCACATGTGGCCCTCTAGGTCCTCAAGTGCAGCCCTTTGACTGAATCCAAACGTCATAGAACAGATCTGTTTGGATTTGTGGCCTGGAGGCCGCAGGTTCTCCACCCCTTGGAACAGGGCCTGGATGAATAAGCTGGTGTACAGAATGAACGTTAAAAGGAAAATGAAATGTCTGGGTCGGGTGACTGTTGGGGTGGGGCGGGGCCAGGGAAATAGTGGCTTCATGGTCACCCAGAGGTTTGGGATTCAGGGAAGTAGAGGGGTCAGCTCGGCTTTCCTGAGTTTGGGCTGCTCCAGGGACATCTAGCCTTGAGATTTGAGTCAGGAACGTCCAAGTGAGAGATTCTCCCACCTCCAGCCCGAATCCCCTAAGTTTCTTTGAAAAGATGAAGGGCCATGATGTGGGCTGGGCATTAAGGCATTAACTGGGTTTGAAGACATTCAATACTATGCTAGGCAGCCTCTTCAAGGATTTGTCCTCCTAACTACTCCCCCATCAGTCCCTCAGAAACCTGTACAGGGTAGCCTGGGGGGCCCAAGTAGAAGTGAGTTCAAAAATTTCTCTCCCATTTCAGTGAGGGACTTTCCTCCTTATCCGCCTCTCCTCCCCCAGTCCCCTGCCTTTGGAGTAGGGTATGAAAAGCCACCCAAGCCAGGAAAGCTCTAACACTAGACACCCCATGGACCCGTTCCTATTCCCCTCCCCCCCACTCCCTTCCCCTGGTCCCAGTACCCTTTGCTTTTTCCACATTAAAAGAACTCCAATTTTCTATTTAGAAAAGTTTATTGAAATTTCAGTCTACATTTCAACAAGTAAAGACCCACTCTTGAAGATATTAGAATGGGCGTCAAAAAGTGGGCCCCGTCTGCTGCCACAGAGGTACCACAGAGAAAAAAGCAGAACTCACTAAGAAAACCGCTGGGGCCATTCAGCTGAAGCCTGACCCTGTCTTAACTGTTGCTGGTTTCCATTTAAAAACAGGTTGTGTTAAAAAAAAAAAAAACAACAACAAAACCACAAGGACAACAACGCATACAGCCCTGTTCTGTTTTCAGGAATGGCCAAGGTGCATGCCTTGGTTGTCCTGGGGCCAGTGGGTGTGAGCTGGGGTATCATCTCCTCGTGTAACTCAGCTTCCAAAAAGAGCTCTTTCTTCAGAGGTCAAACACTTAGGGCGGGCCCATGAAGGTCTGCCCTTAGAACATCTCAGCACCAGCTGATGCAAGCTGGGCAATTCTCTATGTGAGATGATACTTGGGGATGAAAAAAAAATCATATTCTTAAGGAGCTAGGTAGAAAAAAGTTCCGTGGCTCTGCCCACCCCCAGGACAGAGCCACTTACACGGCAGAGCCTGCATCCTGCTCAGGTGAATTGGTGGCAACAGGGGTGGTCTGCTCATCAGGGCTCAGCTGAGACTCGAATTTCTCCAGTTGTTCAGGGCTGGCGAGGGTTTTGAGAAGGCTGTTCTCACGCTCCAGCTGGGAGTTTTTCTCCACCAACTCCTTGATCTGTTCTTTCAGGATTTCCACCTCCTCTCTAACTGCATACATCAGGTGATTTTTCACTAGATCCTATACAGACAAAAACAAAGCCCGAACCAAACACTTCATTACTTAAAACACACCGCTGGTCTGGGCACTCTCGCCTGCAGACACTACTAACCTGGAGAACCTGTCCTGAAGGCTTACTTACTTCTCTGGTGTCTTTCTTGTCAGTTTAAGGGATGGGGGTGGGGGTGGGGCTTCCAGACACTGGGCAAGGAGATACAGAAGGAAGACTCCCTGTATCCAAGCTGGCCCCCCACATCTTGCAAGGCTTCTAATGAGGGAATGCTGCCAGGATGCAGGGCTGGGGTGACAGGGTTTCTTTTGGTTCACCTGGATGCCAGGGTCTCGTTGGCACTGCAGCCTCTGAGCCTACTATGTGTGCTAGGGACTGGAGATATTGAGAAGAGAATGAAGCAGTCCCTGCCCTCCAGAAGGTTACATTCTATGGGGTTGGGGATGATGTGTCCATATGGTTATGCAGGGCAGAGCTTAGGTTCCTCCCTGGCTTTCCTTGAACATTTCAATAATGACCTGGCTATTTTGATCCCTACCTACATTTCTGTCAGCCAGAGCATTAAATATGCAGCTGTACTGCAGTCCGACCTCATCTCCTGGCCAGGACTCCTGCATCCATTGTGACAAGAGGCTGGCCGTGTGCACTGCCCCAGGACCCGTGGCATCTGATGCAGTCACTTGGCTGCCAAGTACAGGGAGCAGCCCGCATATCTCCTGGGGGGAACCCAAGGTCCCTTCCCCTTAATCACGGGGGACCACCAAACACCTACCCTGTGCCTAGCAGCCCCAAGCCCACCCTGTAGAAGCATTCATTCCAGCGTGGAAGGGCTGCTTCCGTTCCCTTGCCTTCTGCCCAGGGCTCTGGGTTCTCTGCAGAGGGACTGCAGCAGGGGCTCCTCCACACTTTGTTAGTGCAGGCTTCAGACAAAGGCGAGCCATCCATGTCTAGGGGGAATCTCACCCAGATGGCAGCGCCAAGGCGGGCCCTACCCTGCCCCGCTATGCCCTAGTCAGGTAGCTCTGGAGAACACCCCAGGAGGCCCCTCTCCTACGTTTGGACTCTGTCCCAGTGAGCTACCTGAGAGCCATGGCCCTACCTCAGTGGTCTTAGCAGAACTGGGGGAGGGGTAATGCTGACTCGAAGGGGGGGAGGGGGGAAGTGCTGGGGAGAGGGGGAATGCATTGCGGGGTGCACCCGGGACTCACCATAGCTTGCTCGATCTTGTTGTCGATGGCCACAACTGTAGCTCCGGAGGCACTGAGGAGACACAAAGTGAAAGGAACCCATCACAAAGCCGCCCTGCTGTGGAACCCCTCAGGGTGTCCCCCGCCCCTCACCTGGGTACCGGGATCAGCGCCCCCAGGCGTTCGGTCGTGGTCCTGGAGCCCGCCCGCTCTCCCCCCTCACGTCCCCTGGCACCTCGATCGCGCGCTCCAACCCAGGCCCCGAGCCGAGTTCGACTGGCTCTGACCCTGACCCTGACCCCGACCCTGACCCTGACCCCGATGGTTCTGCACTGCCGCGCCGCAGCCCCAAGGGCGGCCGGTCCGCTAGCCCCCCGGGCGAGCTGCAGTCGGGCTGGTTACCTGTTGTCTAGCTTGACAGAGACCACATCCCCCCCCAGGAGGGACGAGAAGAAGGAGATGGAGAAGTTATGCAGCTGGTAGACAGCCACCTCCATCGGGGACTGGTACATCTCGGAGCTCATGGCTCAAGTGCTTCAGCCTCTGCTGCCCGGCGGCTCGAGGGGTGGCGGGGCGGCGGCTCTCCTTCTGGGCCCTCGGGGGGCGGCGGGGAAGGCAGGAGGGGCGGCGGGCCGGGGGCGTGTGTGGCTTGGGCGGCGGCGGCGGCGGGGGTGGCGGCGACGGCGGGGGTGGCGGCGACGGCGACAGCGACGGCGGCAGCTAGGGCACCACGGGCCACACAGAGATCGCTCGGACACCAACGCCCTCCCGAGTACCCAGCCCGAACTCGGCGAAGGCGCAGAGCAACCGGCCTTTTATAGAGGGCGAGCCTGTGACGTCACATAGCGTCAGGCGGCATGCAAATAAGCCTACAGCCCGGCTTCGAAGCGCGCGAGGCCACGCCCCGCTCTCGCAACCCTAGCCTGCGAGGGGGCAGTTTGCATTCCCAGGCACACTTCTACCCCCTGGGCAGGAAAGCCGCTCTGAGGTGCAATCGGCTGGGTGCAAGACATGGTGCAATCGGCTGGGTGCCAGCTTGGGACACTGACGCCCTGGTTCGAATCCTTCCTCTCACTGCTACGCCCGGCGAGGCTGTGGGCAAGCGGACAATGCATTTGACCATAATGCATTTGACCTTGACCGGAGACCCCCTAAAATGAGGAGGGAAGAGAACTAGACAGCTCCTCCGGAGTTTTCTTTGTGTGACCTTGGGACCAAGTCACCTCATCTTCTGGTCCTCCTCTGTAAAATGAAGGGAGACTGGTTCTGGGCAAGTCACTTTAGCTCTCGGACCTCAGTTTCCTCATCTGTAAAATGACTGCGTTTCAGTGAAAATTGCATGAAAGCTATGCAGCACATTCCGGCCAGAGGGCCAAGTGTGTGGGGGAGAGATTTAAGATTAGCCAGCCATTTTCTACGGCTGTTTAATCACCCAACATCATTTATTTCCTGCCTACCGAAGTGCCAGCCCCAGTACATGCTGACTCTTCTAATATCCTCAGAATTTGTTAAAGGCCGGAAGGTGCCCTCTCTCTATAAATACAACCAACTCTGGAGTTCCGAACTTTTTGGCGTTCTGCCCCTCCCCTTTTGGCAGCCGGGGAAAGCCTACGGGCCCCTTCTCAGAATGAGAATGCATAAATGCATAAAAAAAGGGAGCCGGTTATATTGAAAGACTGTGATCAAAGTATTAAAAACAAAAGTTCACAGACAGAGAGGTTAAGGACCTCTGACACAGTCCAACACTGCTTCTGATCCAGGAAGAAACTGAGGCGCAGAAAGCCAGAAGGGACTCACCCCAAATGATCAGTCAGTATGAGAAGTGGGATTCGAACTCTAGGCAAGCCACCTGACTTCACTGGTAAAGTGAGCAGATGAGTACTGGACAGTCTCTCCTCTAAAATTTCATAGTCCGAGGTAGGATTTGAACCTGAATCTGGATCCCAAACTGGTATCCTCTCTCCTCCAGTATCTCAGAGCTCAGCCGGGATCTAGATCTATCTATGTATGACCCTTTGGGGACGAATCCAGTGTTTTCTGAATAAAGTGAGGGAGGTCAGACTCTGGGCTCCAAGGTCACTTCCAACTCTAGGACTGGGGAGCCAATGTCTTAGGACCCACAGAGACCTTTTCATGGCCAGACACTGCCCTCTTCCACCATTTCCTACCTCACACTGTTGTTCTCCTTACGCACCTAACTCCCTCACTTCTCTGCTTATGACAAGGGCACACACAGGAGCCTAGCTCTAGAGCTGTCAGGGCTCTCAAAAGCCATCGAGTCCAAGCCCCTCATTTTACAGAGGAGGAAACTGAGGCCCAGAGTGGGGAAGGGACCGGCCCAAGGTTACACAGCCAGTATGTAGCAGGGGCAGTATTGGAACCCAAGCCTTCTTAACTCCAAGGGCAGCTCTCTATCCCTACACCAGGAGATGCCAACTTTTTTCTGTCCTCACTCACACCCCTTGGCTCTCAATAAATCCTCCTGTACCCTGTAGTCATTATGAAAGGAACTAAATTTGACAGTTTACCATGTATCTGTATAGAATAGAATACACTGATTTTTACTAGGATAACATAATTGTTTACCAAACATTCTCTCTATGCTTTGCCAAGCTTCTTCTATCTGCCAGGAGCAAGTGTAGCCCAGGTTGGAAGCTCCTTGTACATGTATCACATGGTCTCCCCCCAGATGCCCTGATATTTATTTTGCCTATGTTCTGTATACGCTTCTACCTGCAGTGACTGGAGTGCTGGGCCTAGAATCAGGAAGACTGGTATTCAAATCCAACCTCAGACTGTGTGACCCTGGGCAAGGTACCTAACCACTGGCTGCCTCAGTTTCCTCATCTGGAAAATAGGAATAATAACAGCACCTACCTCTTAGGGCTGTTGTGAGGATTGACTGAGATGATAACTGTAAAGCACTTAGCCCAATGCCTGGCATATAGTAGGTGCTATATAAGTATTAGCTATGGTCATCATCATCATCATCATCATCATCATTATTATTACTATATGTACATGGGACTGATTTGCTTTTGTCTTTGTATTAGCATGATACTTGGCATCTAGTAGGTGTTTAATAAATGCCTGTCAACTGATCGGCTGATTGCTCATCCTCATTTTACAAAAGAGAAAAATGAGGCTCGGAGGGAGACTCAGTGGCTGGGTCAGGTTCATTGATTATCGCCAAAAGCAGAATTCAAACCCAATTTTCTTAACTGCAAGGCGGCTGCCCTTTTCACCTTATCCGTCTATACTGCCTAGGGTTTACAGTGTGCAGAGGAAGCAAAATCAACCCTGCCCAGAGCTGTCTGTGTCCCTTCTAAAACAGTATCTCCCCTTGTTTCTTTCCAACAGTAAACACCAGCCCTAGTCAAAAGGCAGCCTGTTTCCTGCTGGCTAGGGAGAGCCCGCACGGGGCCCAGTGCATCCCAACGCTGGAGGCTCCTTCAGGAAAAAACAACAAGTTTTGGAGATTCCTAACCGCAGGGGACACAAGGAGCCTGTTGCTTCATAACAGCTACAGTTATTTTTTTCCACTGAAATCTATTTTGACTCTCCAAGTCCTTAAGTTACTCCGAGGGCCTTGCCCTCCAGATCCTGCTCTGTGGCAAGGCCACCTAGTGGCTCTCAGTGGAACGTCCAGGCAGCAGGGACCGAGCAACCCGAGGACAGGTTAGCTCTACACCAATCCAGCTAGCCATGAATCAGGGCTCAATAGGCCGGGGACCAAGGCAGTGGTCTAATGGGATATGGTCTAATGGAGACATCAGGGGCCTGGGAATCCAAGGACACGTGGCTGCATGGTACAGTATTTGAAAAAGCACTGGCTTTTGGAGTTGTTGGAAGGCTTGGGTTCAAATCCCACTTCTGACACAGACTACCTATGTGACCTTGGATAAGTCTCTTACCTCCCTGGGCCTCAGTTTCCCCCTCTGTAAAATGAGAGGATTGGGCCTTTAAGGCCTCTCTTCATCTCTAAATATAGGATCTCGTGATTCAGCCTCTCACTGACTGGACACAACTCTTAGACTCCTTCGCTTTTCTCAAGACTGAGATAAGATGCTACCTTATCTGGGCTTTCTTTGCAGATCTCCCTTACCAAGCTGTATGTGTCTGGTGCATGCTGCAGCAGAATGGAAGAGCTTTGAGGACAGGGATTGTCTTGTTTTTGTCTTCCTAGACCCAGGACCAAACTAGGCCATCCTGCCAGTAGAAGGTGCTTAACACATTCTCGTCGCAGTTGACTTGAGTATGCCATTGGGCAGGCCATTCCCCTGTCTGGACCTCAGTTTCTTTTTTTTCTGGTCCTTGCCAGCTCAAAATCTTGTGAAATCTATGCAACTGGAAAAGTACTAGGACCTCTTATCAGCAACAAAGGTGATTGCTATTTCTTCTGACCAGGTGCCTGGCACAGACATCCTGGGCAAGGCTCCAACTGAGCTCAAGCTGAAGGCCTGTCATTTCGTCAAAGCTGAAAATGCAGCTCAGAGCCTTGTTTGCCTAGAACACTGGGTTCAGAAGCAGGAAGCCTAGGACTGATTCCTAGGGTGGGGTGGGAGAAAGTATGATGAATTTTGTAGGCAGACGACCTGGGTTCAGATCTAACCTCTATCACTACCTGGGTGACCTTGGACAAATCACTTCTCCTTCCCGGTTCTCAGTTTCCTCCTCTGTGAGATGAGAGTAGAACAAGTCTAGGGGGCCAGCTAGGAATAGCGGATCCCAGGGGGACCTCATAGCAGTCACTAAACCTCCCCTCCTCCGTAGCAGGAGTGGCTATTGGAGGGTCCTGCCAGCTATGAATCTGGAAGCACATGGGTGATCTAACACAGGTCCCTTAAGCTCCCTGGGCCTCAGTTTCCCCTAAAGTCCCAGGAGGGGATTGGATTCTAAGACCTTTGAAGGTCTCGTCAGCTCTAGGACTAGGATTCTGTAGGTGATCTCACACTGCTCCCTTCAGCTCTCTGGGACTCAGTTTCCTCCTCAGTAACAGGAGGGGTTGGACTGTATGGCCTCTGAGGGCCCTGTCAGCCCTAAATGTATGATCTTATGGCCAGGACATGCTGG